TTCCTCCCTTGCTTTTGCCTTCTTTATATGCTCGCTCATTGGCAGGGGCATCAGCCTAAACCTTTCAAAAGCTGCCATTTATTGAGTCCTCTCCATGTGTCAGGCTCTGTGGCAGGTACTTATATGAATTGCTTCTAATCCCTGTTACACAAGCGTGTGCAGCGAAGGAGAGGCTGAGCTGAGAGCTGAATCCAGGTCTCCCTGCTTCTGAAGCCTGTGTCTTTCTGCACACCACGCACTTCCCCCGTTCACTCTAGTACATTTGGCTTCTGACCAAGGTGTTTTCAGTTGTTGATGAGGCAAGCTTCTCTGCCTACTGACTGAAAAAGCATTGAGTAATTTTTTTCAAATATATTTTTTCATAGAGTTTAAACAGTTATATGTTGTATCGACTTCAAACTCTTCAATGAATTTGACAAGGAATAATACTAAATCTTTGTTTTGTTTTATTGGTTTCCAGAGAAGAGCTAGAGAAGATGAAAAGCGTAATTGAAAAAGCAAAGAAAGAAGAGGTTACTGGGGCCAAATCTCATATAACTGCTGCAGAGGGAAAACTTCACAACATGATAGTTGACCTGGATAATGTGGTCCAAAAGGTGTGTTTTTTAGGTCTTTTACAACCTTATATTTTTCTTTTAAATATAATCCTTCAGTCAAAGAATTTTAAGAATTCAGGATAATAAAATTCCTACCATCTCCATTTTCCCCTGCAAAATATATAAGTTGTTACTAATTTTAAAAACTTGACTTGGACACAAAGTGGATCGTTCAGTATTGATACTTTTTATAATAGGTAACACTTTTGGTCATGGTTATTACCACTTCTGAAAATTTCCATTTTGTAGCAGATCTTCTGTCCACCTGTGGTCTGTACTGGGTAGTTTCTGTGGCCCAGGGAATGAGGAGCGGGGGCACGTGAGCTGGGAGGGCTTGCCCCTAGTGTTTGAATAGAATTAGAAGGAAACAAAGACAAGGCTTATGTTCCTTTTTCTGAGTTTTAGATTTTTCACTGTATGTTGTTTATATATTCCCAACCGCATGTAAATAAATCAGTGAACGTAAGCTCTGAATTTTGGAGTGCGTACGGTCTTTTTGTTCACTTGAACAACATCTTTTTGTGTTTGTCCAGGTCCAAGCAGCTCAGTCTGAGGCTAAGGTTGTGTCTCAGTATCATGAACTGGTGGTCCAAGCCCGGGACGATTTTAAGCGAGAGCTGGACAGTATCACTCCAGAAGTCTTGCCAGGTTGGAAAGGGATGAGTAAGTACAGCCGAAGCATTGGCACTTTTCTGTTTTCGTCTCAACTGATGTAAACTTACTGCGGCTCCATTCATCCAGTGCAAGCCATGTGGCATGCATATCTCATTCGGTGTAGAGCAGTGTTTTCAACATTTTGTTTCAGTCACAGCCATGACAGGTGACAGACCTGTGACAGTACTTTCAGGGTTTTAGTTGTAATGTACACAAGATTCAGCCACTGTTTAATTCCATAATCCATGATTCCATTCTGTCTCTGTTACTCAGAAAAAAATTTTTTTTAATCCAAGTAAGAGTGACATAACCTTGATTCTATTAGAATATTACATATATGTAAAATTATTCAAAACCTTTGTTACTTAAATACTCATCAAAAAAAAAATCCATAATGAATTACTTAAGTCACGCCTTATGACTGCTTTGTGGTTGAGAACTTACCCCGCGACACTGCAGTGGGAAGGAAATTGGTTGTTTGGCTGTCACCTTGCAAATAGCGCAGACTGAGGGACTTGAATGATTAAGCAATGACACAGTCTAACTGCAGGGGATAGTCACATTTTCCTGAAGTGCTGTGAGGGTGGTAAGAATTAGAGGTTACCAGTCTCAACAAATTAAAATACTGATAAATGCCATCGTCTGTTAGAAACTGAACGTCAGGTAGGATCTAAAGAATTGGTGTAGCAGGCCTCTCTAGGCTGAAGGTGTCAAGGTTGCATCATGGAACCATGGCTGGTCTAGGAGCTGAGGTAATAAGAGTCCAGTACAGGAATTTTATCTGCATAAAGGTCAGCCAGGGAGATTTAATTGCAGGGAGTGGAGTCAAGGCTGTCAAAAAATAACTCAGACATTTAGTTTTTTTAATGTATTGGGTTGTTGGAAAAGTCATGACGTATTTTTTCTATGTTTTTCGTTGCAAAAATGCGTCATGACTTTTTTGACAACTCAATAGTTGACTCACTTAAGAGGAAGATATCAGACTCATGTCAAAGAAAAAAAAACAAAAGCAGGATTTATAAAAGAGCATAAAGTACACAAACACACAAAGTTCAGTCTAGGAACAGTGACTTGTTTGTACATTGTTGTTTAAACTGATTAGCAGCTAGTAAGGAGGGCAGTATGGACATACAACCCTTGAACAGGCTTAGTTAAGCCACATCGGTAGTTTCT